GTCACCGATCGATATCCCGCCCTTGTACCCCTTTATGACTGCGTGTGCACTGTCACCGATCGATATCCCGCCCTTGTACCCCTTTATGACTGTGTGTGCCCTGTCACCGATCGATATCCCCCGCCCAGGATGTCCTCTTTTTATTGTGGATGACTAGTGACTCACCTCTCTTCTTCCAGCAGGGCCGGCAGAGAAATTCCCAGTGTCCCGTACGCCTGACTGCAGCTGTCACTGGCAAAGGCATCTCCAACAAGTGTGATAAAGAGAGGTTCTTTGAAGGACAAAGGCTCCCCATGTCACCCACAGGTACACACCTGTAGGAGGGTTAGAGGGTAGGGGGAGGAGCATATGGGCTAGGGGGAGGGACATAGGGGTTAGGGGGAGGGGCATTTGGGATAGGAGGAGGGGGGGTAGGGGCATATGGGATAGGAGGAGGGGCATATGGACTAGGAGGAGGGGCAAATGGGCTAGTGGGAAGGGCATATGGGCTAGGGGGAGGGGCATGGGGGTAGGGGACATCATATGATAGAATCGTGAAATCCTTTGTTTTGTCATCAGTCATTTTCAATAATTAGGCATTATTCTTCTGAAACCTGTAGTAGAACCAGTGAGGTAGGTGTCAGTGTTAAATTTGGCAAGAATTTTGAATTTAGTTTTAGTCTTAGTCACTTACTTAGTCAGGGCAAAAACCGTGTGGCGTGAGTGTGAGCATTAGTTAAACTGGAAAGTGGCATTTGCTCAGACATGAACCGAGCGGGAAAAACAAATCATCCAATGAGAAAGGTGCATGGAGACTGAGAACTGGTATGTGTACTTATGCGTATGTAAATGACTGGTTAAAAAGGAAAACAACCAATGCTTTGAGATGGCTACTATGATCCAGGTTGTCTGCCCAAACAGGGCCAGCAATTTTGTGTCGTCTTTACTTGTCAGAGCATAACAGAGATTTCACCATAATTTTCTTTGTCAACCATTTTTTCATTTACGTTGTCATTACAATTTAGTCATGAAACAAAAGGTCATCAACGAATACTTCTCGTCAAAATTGTCATTGACGAAATGAACATGCTAGGTGTGTTGAGCAGAGAATCCTGTTGACAGACCTTCTCCCTCTTCATCTGATTTCCTACTCAGAGGCTCTGAAGAACTTCCATGCCCGGCTGACGGAGTTTGAGCAGGAAGAAATCATGGACTATTCCGAGATCTGGTACTTGGGCCTGGAGACCAAAAAGATTGCTGGCTCTCAAGGAGCAGGACAGAACTCCGGCTACGATGACGAGCAAGGGAACTACATAAAGGTAGCACTCACGCCCAGTGTCGTTCAGTCGTTTTATTTACTATTGTCATAATTACTGATAACACAAGTTAAATACACTGATAACATGCTAGCAGTGTTTCCATGGAAACGTTTGCCAAATCGCATTGTGTGCTGGTAATCATCCATCGTTCGTGTGACCCAATGTTTGGGTGCATAGAGTATGAGTACTATCCCAAAAGGTACTGCACAGCACAATAAAACCCAGGACTTCACAGAGCCTCCAGAACCTAGTATGCTTCCACTTCAACACACTGTTTCTCCAGGTCTTACACGACCACATCAGCTACCGCTTTGAGATCCTGGAGGTCATCGGGAAGGGATCATTTGGGCAAGTCCTGAAATGCCTGGATCACAAGAACAACGAGCTGGTGGCCATCAAAATCATCCGCAACAAGAAGAGGTCAGCCTGTCACGAGGTCGCAGGACAAGACATGGTGTCCAAGTGTGCAGTGTGATTATGTCAGAGAAACAGTGTTTAACGCTGTTTAATAGCTGTGTGTTTGCCACAAAGCCATTCAACGATTGGTGGGGGTAGCGGCACCAGCTAAAGCTGCTGCAGCAGTAATTTAATCAGTGGCTTAAAGCGCAATTCAGATTGCTAATCCAAGCCAATCCAAGGACTCATTTGACTTCATCGATTTGCTGGTCAGGGCCGCTGGCCCTTTGAGCTACTCGTATACCTCTTCGAAATGGCGTGTGCTGTCGGGCTGCAGGTTCCATCATCAAGCACTGGTGGAGCTGAAGATCTTGGAGGCGATACGGAGGAGAGACCGAGACGGCTACCACAACGTCATCCACATGAAGGAGCACTTCTACTTCCGCAACCACCTCTGCATCTCCTTTGAGCTGCTAGGGTGAGGGCTGCAGCTCCCTGACATCATCCATCCATCCATCTTCCAACACTTATCCTGGTCAGCCCTGAAATTCATGACACACAAAAGTACTTTAACTAGACTACGCTAAGTTTCCCGTATAGCTAGCATCGCCAAACTTGACCTGTTTTCCTTACCGCGAATGAAGAGAGCCACCCCGGCCATAGCTGAACCCCCAGCCCCCCAGCCCGCCCTGCCCTTGCGCGTCCTTCTTCAGCTCCCTCCTTCTTGGCACAGCAGTGGAAGGTGGCAGCAGACGCAGAAGGGCGGGGATCCGATCAGGTTCCCAGAAATGGGCCAAAGTGCCATCAGGTTTCAAACTTAGATCCTCAAAATAACTTCTGGGGTTAAATAGCCACCACGTCCCATCTAGGTTTGTAACCCCTTTAGCTCAGAGCATAAAATAATTTTTTAGCTGATATAATAATATTATTATATAAATATCTATCACAGCCTTGCTGACGTTAATTTAATCTGCAGTAAAACAACTGTATACAGTATCATTTTTACGTACATAATTATATGCAGTTGTACTGACTACGTCGAAATTATGTTATATACTAATTTACCTTTAGAGAAGGTTTGGTGTTGCACAAAAAAAATCCTCATTAAATATCTTCCTTCCTTCTTTTTTTCTGTACTGATTAGTGGTGCAAAAGTTACTCAAATTCAATATAAGGGTCTAAACTGAGTTGATACCTCCACCTATAGGACAAATCTTTAACTAGCATTGGATGAGAGTCGTAGAGCGGTCCACCCATGGTGAGCGTGTGTGAGTCCGCCCACGCAGGGTGGCATGCCAGCAGCTTGTCATCCATGCTCTCTGTCTGCAGGCTCAACCTCTACGAGGTGATCAAGAAGAACAACTTCCAGGGCTTCAGCCTGGCACTGATTCGCCGCCTCGCTCACTCCATCCTCAAGTGCCTGCAGATGCTGCACAGGGAGAAGATCATCCACTGCGACCTCAAGCCGGTAGCACTGCTCGCTCTCCACTTCCTGGTGCCATGAATTATGGGCTGGCTGTGTGGCTGCATGCGTGTTACGCTCTGTGACCAACAGACTCTGTGGTCTGTGAACAGAAGGACACCGATTCAAATCCTGTAGTCTACAGAGTAATTATATAAGCACAAGACCCTTGAGCAAGACCCGTAATCCCCACAGCGCTAGTGACTGGCTGATCCTACCCTCTGATATTCAGTCGTACGTCATGTTGGTCTGATCACAGCTGCTTATGTTGCAGCTTCTCATGGCATTGAATTGAATTTACCGTCCACTGCACAGGGAATTAGGGTGGACCATTTGATTGATGAACTGACCACAGAACAAGGTTTTGCTCTTTCTCTCCATAGGAGAACATCTTGCTGACACAGAAGGGACAGTGGAATATCAAGGTCGTCGACTTCGGCTCCAGCTGCTATGAACAGCAGAGAGGTTTGTGGTTTTCTGCGTTCTCACGTGTGGGGCTGCAGGCATCTTTGTGGCCCTTTTCCTTTGAGCAACCTGTCCGCAACAGCGGTTTTTCTGTCCGGATATCTGCAGTGTACACCTACATCCAGAGCCGCTTCTACCGCTCCCCGGAGGTGATCCTGGGGCATCCCTACAGCATGGCCATCGACATGTGGAGCCTGGGCTGCATCCTAGCTGAGCTCTATACCGGTTACCCACTCTTCCCGGGGGAGAGCGAGGTGGACCAGATGGCCTGCATCATGGAGGTACCCACAGCATTCTCCATGTACGGTGTAATGGGACTGAAGCACTTGGGTGAATCTCAGTATGCGTAGCTGACCATACTTCTCATCTACCCGTTTGACGTCATCTTCCATTGCTGAAGACCAGTTCCAATACTAAGAACACAAGTATAGAGGACAGTAAAAATCCCCAGATGTTAGTCTTGCCCCATCCTAAATATCAAGCATCCATTGGTTGCATCCTCACCAAACGAGATCGATCCCATGATTCATTGCGCCCCAAGTTCATTAAAGATACTTGAAGGCAAGGTAGCAAGACTGGCCTCGCTAAGACCAAAAGATACGGTCTTTGCACCCTTGGTACTGAGATTCACACCTTGTGCGAATCCAGACTGACAGAGTCACATGGAAATTGAAAATACTGCTGTTTTTTTCAGATATTGGGAACGCCGCCAGATGACTTTGTCCAAACAGCATCCAGAAGAAAGTTATTTTTCGGTAAGCAGTTCAGCTCCCATCCATGCAGCCATGCCTCTGTAATAGAGCCAAGAACAACAACAAGTTCATGGAGGCAGTACTGAGCTGAATCATTATTCATGACTGTAAGATCAGATCTTGCCCTGCGATAGGCTGGCATCCCAGTCAGTAGCATCCGCAGCCTCACTCTGACCCTGTACTGCTTAATGGTAATGGAGGATGGATGGATGGATGGATGGATGGATGGGTGGATGAATGGATAATAATGACATTTTATTCATCCCGGTGGGGAAATTCTCGTTTTGCCTACGCCATCTCGATCTCCATGACGCACATGTAGGTGAGAACTAACTTGGCGATGAAGGGCAGCCACCTGCAGCGGCTCTCATGGGGCCGGGGGTTAAGGGCCTCGCTCAAGGGCCCACAGACATGAGGCTATTCTGCCAAGGCCGGGTGGTGAACTTAGAGCTAATTTATTGGATAGTTCAGCTAACTGGCTAATTTATCATCTTCCTCAAGATTCTCAAGGCAACCCCAGGAACCTGACAACCAGCAAAGGCAAACTGAGGACGCCCAGCTCCAAAGACCTCGGCACCCTGCTGAAGACCAATGACGTGCTTTTCCTGGACTTCCTCAAAGGCTGCCTCATGTACGTGCATGCGGGCCGCTGCCGTCGCGGTCCGGGGGGGTGTCGTTCCTGCCATCACGGCAGCCGGGGAGTCTGCTTGACATGTCATCAAGGCTGTTGTCTACTGCCGCGCAGGTGGGACCCGGCGACACGCATGAGCCCTGCCGAGGCCTTGCAGCACGACTGGATTCTGGAGGGCCGGATCAACCGGTCACGCATCAGGCACCGGCCTCTGAGATATCATCATGTGAGCCAAGTCAACTCGGAAATCAGAAACCAGCATGTTCCCACCAAAGTAGCCAATAATAGGACAGGTAAGAGGCCTATCCCCCAACGCTCCTTCCCTTCCAGCCGTAACTTTTACAATTTTTCCCCATTTAATTCCCCATAATCAAGTACAGTTTCTGTTTCCTGTTAGCTGTTTGTATTATGGAAGTCGTCATATTGGTGTTTGTTAATGACAGGGGCATATACAGGTGTGAGGCTGTGAAAACTGATTGGCCCCCGGCGTGCGCCCTGCCCTGTCAGTCACCAATTCAAAGCACATCATTGGTTAATGAGAAGGTTGACCCATCTGTATGAATTATGGCCTCTCTTATGCACCCCACCTTTAAAAAAATGTCTAATCGCCTCCGGTTAAAATGTCTAATTTCATTGTCTCTTTGCTGTCCAGCAGAAAAGGAAGACTCAAATGGCTCGGACAAGGTCAGGGGTCAGAGCGAAGGACAGGGAGGCAGTACAGGGAGTGACGAGCGTCTGGGTCCGGCTGGGGAGTCGGTGGTGGGGGACACCAGCGGGAGCGATGCTGGCAGCTCGGTGGAGATGGCAACCCAGCAGGTGATGGGGGAGAGACCGGTCCACATCTTCATCGAGCCCAAGTCAGAGCCCGATACAGACAGCGAGAGCCAGGGGCAGTCCTCTGACCCCTCCCCTGTGGTATAACAGCCAGGGCAGGGGGGTCTTACGTGTGTGCGGGGCACATAATCTGTCAGAGCTGGTCACCTGACTCCTAGGTCATAAGGTCAGCGACGCCCTCTGCAGGAGACATGGTTCATGTGTCACTGAGATCTGCAGAGCGACGGGAGTTAGTGGCAACAGCAACATGCAGGTTAACTCATGACAGATTAACCGTTATGCTTTTGTGTGGAGGCACTGTGCTCGCCGTCCGTGTTTCCGTTTTTTAATTAATAGCTGAAGCCAAACTAGATTGCTAGGAAAACTGTAGCAGCTGCCTGACCCTAGTTATGGGTACCATGCATATGCTTTGCTCTAAGCCTGGGAAGCCTCAGAGAACGGCGTGGAGCCTGACAGTGGGTGCTGACAGGCCACAACGCTCCTCTCAGGATCTGTGGGACTGCTGGACACCTTCATCCGGATTGAGGTCCGAGGTCACCAAACTCTCCGAGCCCCCGCACAGCGTATTGATTATACAGGAGTGTTTAGTGATGCAGAGAATTTCCAGTCGTCCCATAATTGCGAGTTTTCTGTTGGATTGATATTCCTTCATTGCAGAAGCACAAACACACATTCTTTGTTCTGTGCCTTCCATCAGTATTTTTTTTTTCTCGAAAATGTGAATCTGCGTCATTCAGCAAGGTTTGAAGAGCAGAGGCTGGATACCTACTAAAATCTGATGATAAATTCAATCATGGTCAACATTGTTATTTTATCTGTGTCCCACATATGGGAAATTAGAGTATATTTTTTAGTATTTATTTCTGATCACTGGCTTCTGTTTCATAGTTGTTTAGAATTATAATACTTACTATGTCATGTGTTTATATATTTTATTGTTAAAATTAATGAGTTAGCAGTGATTCAATATTGTAAGATTTTAGATATTTTAAAAAAACCTTTTTATATGTTTTTTGCTTCATTTTTGTACTCCACGCAAATAATAACGTACATATGCTATAGAGAGGTGAACAGGTTTTACTTGTTCACCAATAATAATGTATAGGTTATAAATGATCCTTTAATGATCTTTTGTTTTTGATGTAATCTGTTACCTGCTGAAGCTGGGTCTTTTGCTGTAATAAGTAGCTTTTATTTGCTTTTATATTCACGCTGTTGATGGGGGGAACTCAGCGGGAAAGTGATGGGCAGGTGGCCTGTGCCTTTCAGTATTCAGAGTCCTTGCATTTTATACCGTACACCCCCGGCATATGTGAACTGGACACTCAGCACTTTTTCCAAGCCAGCGAAATGGTCTAAATAGCCGCAGACTCTGGGTCAGCGGTCAGCCTCACCGTCAAAGCTACTGAACCTTCCCTTGTAGTATAAGCGCGCTTTGGAACGCTACACGATTACAAAGTTACAAAATGGCAAAGCTCTGGAGAGTTACAAAATGGCAACCCAACCAGTGCCGTAGAATATTTCTTTATCTCTTCGGAATGTAGGATGTATGGAATTTTATTCTGATGAACAAATCTAAATCACTGAATATTAATCATCCAAAGTTATTGCGATATTGAAATGAAAATTGAATTATGTATGAATTAAACAAGTATATTTACCTAAATAAAAAGCTCTTATATGGTGCAATGTACTGTTAATGCACAACATATGAATGTCTTTTATATGTGTAATAAAATCATTAATAAAACTTATTTGAGTGCTACTCATTTTCCCACGTTCCTCACACAGGAAATCGTTCTGCAATGAAACCGCAATGTTATTAAGAAATAACTGGCCTAAATATTCCTAAGAATCCTAATTTATTTCAAGCAAATACTGTAGTGTGTCACGGGGGAAAACTTATCTACATTTGAACTGACTGCATAAAAATAAAATATTTAGTCAGCATACGGATTGTGACGTCCGGACACCAGAAAGGAGGCAGACCCCGTAATGCGGGAGAAGGGTATATTGGACAGTAAGTCGAGTGTACCAAAAGCCAAAAGGGAAATCCAAGTGGGTAGTCGAGTCGAGCGCGGAGAGTCGAAAGCCGGTGAGTTCAGTCCTACAGGCAGAGACAGGACGTGGAGACGAAGGGATGGGAGAGAGGACGAAGGCAGACCTGGAAGGCAGGACAGGCAAGCGGGGCAGGCTGGACCAGGGAGGGAGGCAGGGTTGACCAGGGAAGCGGGGCAGGCAGAACAGCAGGGTAAGGCAAGAGCAGGGCAGGGAAGGGAAGGGAAGACACGAGACAATGAAACGCTCAGTATGTGTCATTCGCATGGCAACAATACTTCGCAACACTCTGTGGTACGATTTGGATTTAACAGTGGTGGAGGAAGTACCGAAGCTTATGTACTTAAGTAAAAGTACAAATATCCTGCAAAATATGTACTCAAGTAAAAGTAGAAGTGCTACATCAACAATCTTACTTAAGTGAAAGTACTAAGTACTTACTTTAAAATTTACTTTAAAGTATTTTTTAAGTAAAAGTACTCACACAATGGTTTGTCTCAACGTCTGGGGTGTGCCATTTTGTAAAAGAATAGTAGATATACTGACTTACGCCTCTACCGATGTCATTGCTCGTAATAATTACAAGCAACTATACAGTATATGTGTATTGGAAAGTTTGGTGTGCTTATTGTGCATGCACTCTGGAATACTGTGTGTACCCAACTTAGAATTATGTGGATGACAAGTTATCTACTAGGTATTACCCACTAATATACCATTAAGATAAACCAATCAGGACATGATATATCTTTAAATCATTTATGTACTTGCGAAACTATTCAACACATATCTGCCACCATTGGAGCTAATAAAGCCACCTGATTGGTAGGAAATGGCAAACAACGGCAGAACGCAATAGGCTAACTATATTTTTTCGTGCAAGATATTGAGGAAATTGTGTTAATAAAATGTGACGACTAACGGCATAAATTTTAGAAATGTAGTGGAGTACAAAGTACAGATAATTGCCGCAAAATGTAATGGAGTAAAATTAAAAGTATGCATTATTATTTTTACTTAAGTAAAGTACAGATAGGCCTACGTAAAAATGTACTTAAGTACAGTAACGAAGTACAAATACTTTGTTACATTCCACCACTGGGATTTAACTAGTGCATTGGATTTGTGCTAATTGCTAGCAGCTGTTGCCCCGCCCCTGTGGGCGTGACACGGATATTCCACTTTTCCGTTTACTCATCCACAGCTCACACACCATTATCAGGTTTGCTGGTCTGATGGTACAGCAGCAAATGGGTGAACATCCTGACCTCGACAGGATGGTGGTAAGATACCAAGCCATGAGCGTAAATTACGGGAGATGGGTGGAGTTATAAACCCTGCCGATAACACTGCACAACAATTTTTTTTAAAAGTTTTGCCTCCTGAAAAGTTTTTGATGATTGCGACAGGTACTTGGTGGGTATTCAGAAATATAGTTTTGGTTTTGCTGCATCACGTAGAAACTCACGTTTATGATTCTCATACGCTATTAAGTTCAACATAATTAGAAGTGTGTTGTTTTTGATTTTTGTTTGTATTCAGTGTCAGGTGCATCACGCTGCAGTGTCCAAAACTAGTCACTCTTGCGAGTGCTGTACATAAGGTTGCTGGCCTCATGTACCCGTGCCAGGCTTTCCTGGAGGTCAGCTGTCTCTCCAGCGTCACCGATTTTTCTCGGTTGTTATCCAGCCTGTCCTGGACGTCACTGGTTGCCCAGAATTCACTTGCTTAACAGTACAGTACAGAGCCCTACAGTCATGAACGTAAAGGCTGAAAAATAGCTTCTTTCCATGAGCTGTGGCTGAACTCTGCGCCTGTTTACGCTGCTGCCTCGCGCTGCTCCTTAACACCTGACATCTTGTTTACACACTGGACACTTTATACACCGTCACCTTATTTTACATTTTATTCAGGTCTAGAGGTATATTTTGGCCACATTTTACTTGATTTTATTTTACAATTTCTAAAGCAGTGTTCCTCAAACCAGTCCTCGGTGACCCCTGCAGCAGTCCTCGTTTTTGCTCTCTCCCAATTCCCTGGGAGCAGGAAGGTCTGGGGGTCCCTGAGGACTGCTTTGAGAAACACTGTTCTAAAGTATTGCTATATATATCCCGGTCTTGTCTTATTTATTGTTCATTAGTTGTTTATTGCTTCCGGAACTATCCTTTAACATTTGTCTTTGTTGTTGTGTACTGATGCTGTTAGGAGTGAGCCAATCAGTGTTTTGTTGAATGCTCATTTGGCCAATGACAATGCAGAATTCTGGTATATCACAGTTAAGTTTACTGTATTCATCACGTTGACAGTAAGCTATGGAAAACAGATAAAAAATGTATAGGCCTAAATAGTATATAATTAAATTAAATAGTATATAATTATAGCAAGTGTATAATTAAATCCTACACCACACCAAATCCAGGATACGTTGTGGACAAACGGATGGACCACACCAAAATAATTTCATTTGTCAGTTTAACCACAGGAAAGTGAATCCCGCGTTAACTCCGCGCCCGACTTCGTTACGGATGTTTTTTGACCTACGAGTGACGCCGTAGACCGGTCGCGTCTGCACTGGAAACATGGCGGCCGCTGTTCTTGTCTGCCGTCCTACGAGTGTCCTTTCCAGACTTTCCAGTAAGTGTTTGTGTTATTGTCTAAAGTAATTTGTATAGCGGCATATGACTCACCAGTTTTTTATACATCGCGTTTTATGCGAGTAACATTTATTGGGTTCTGCGTTTTGCAGTATTTTCAAACCAGGCCTGTACGTGCGCAGTGTTATTTAGCTATAGCCCGTCCTTCACATTAGTTTTTCTAGCAGCGTATTTGGCAGTCAGGATTTGCAAATGCAAGATCAGCATGCAAGTCCAAGTGTTTTGAAACGGTAAGGTGCATATGTAGCTTTATAAGACATACTGCATGGCCCCGTATGTACCGCTACAAAGCATAGGTAAAGTGCTTGTTATTCTGACCCGAAATGGTCATTAATATTGTAGTGTATGTACAGCAGTCAAAGGTTTCTTTGAGTGCTTGATTTTATGATTTCAACTATGAATCGTAACACACACACAGTTACAGACAGTCTGTCAGTTGAATGAGGCAAATAGGATATATTTGGTCCCGTACATTAGATATCTGCTTTTCCCAGTTCTGGCTTGACTACATCTACAGAAGCCACAGGAAGCTGTAAGGCACAGGACTGACTTAAAAAACGAGTTCAAACATTAAAACTCAAGCCTTGCACAGCTGCTTACAGTTTGTGGAGGCGTAAGAACCATTTGGCAATGAGACGGAGGTAAACCTGCAAGCTTGGGTTCCAATAATACAGCATCAGGCCTCCTGACGAGGATTCTAGGGCCAGTTTCTTGGCGCTGTTTGGTCTGTTAGCCCAGTTCTGCTTCTCCTCTGCAGGTGCTACATCTCCAGCGGTGCTGCCAGCCGTCTGTGTGACTGTCCAGCAGCGAGAGATCCACCATGCCGTCATCCCTCACGGAAAAGGGGGGCGCTCTTCGGTCAGTGGAGTCGCAGCCACTGTCTTTGGCGCCACTGGTTTCTTAGGCCGATATGTGGTCAACCGTCTGGGTGAGTTTCAACTGGCTTTGTGGCTCTTCAAATACCAGCCAGCAGGAGTATGGTCAGTGTTGTCCAGGAGGCAGGATATTTTATTTTATTTGATGACACCCAGATCCCCCCCCCCATTCAGGCAGTAGGGGTCTGACTTCCATTCCTATGCTGTTGTCCACAGGGAGAATTGGATCTCAGATTGTGATTCCCCATCGCTGTGATCAGTATGACATCATGTACCTCAGACCAATGGCGGACCTGGGACAGATCATTTTCATGGTAAACTTAAACATCATCCATCCACCTTCTAGCCGCATAACCTAGTCAGGGCTACAGCGGAGACCTGAAGCCTGTTCCAGGCGTTTCAGTGGACACGCTGTCAGAATGTATGGGCAATTTAAAGACACCCGTTAGCTGAACTGCATATCAGTGCACTGTTGGAGGAATCCCTGGCTGACTGGAGGGAAATCGGAGAGAATATTCAATCCCCCACAGGCCGGAGGTGAGATTTGTCCCATAACTCTGTCGGTGTTCTAGCCACTGTGCCTTCAGAGTGACCCAGTGTGAGTTACTCAGTACAGTACAGAAAAATACATGTTGCATGGAATGCTGCTTTATGGCCAGTTAGCTGCAGTGCCTCCCATAATGGCTATAGCACTGGCATGTATATAGTTTTATTTACCTCTGTACTGCACAGTTTTTGATTTTTTTCCAACTTTATTAGAATTTTAAACAATAACATGATACAAAAGGTACAAATGTTGGTCTCGATCTTAATACCCCCCCACACCTCTATCCCCTTTAATACAAAGTAAAATGTAGTAACTAAATAATATTAACAATGAAAGTATGCAAATTAAATCAAAATAATAGAAAATAAATAAATAGATAAAAGTAAATAAAAATAATAATTACTTAACATAAGGAGAAATAAATCTAGTGGTCTCTATAATTTACTAATGATTATGAGTATTGGGCTTACAGATTTGAATGTGTTACTGTGGGTTAGCAGTACCAAGGATCAGTGGTCAGTCGCAGATTGTATTCAATTTCTTATTTATCAATTAGCTAGTTAGTTAATGGGGAGAGTTTTCATTTTTGCAAAAAGGGTGATCATGGGTCCCCAGTTTTG